GAAATTTGTACCTCTTGTAGCCATTCCTGAGACAGTAACTTCTGCAGAAGATATGAGTTCAGAGTGCCTGGCTCTGCCACCTGCTCTTTCTCACCGCAGTCTGGCTTTTGCACATTGTCTTCAAAGGAGGTTGAACCTGGCTCCCAGTGGAATGGGTGGCTGCTGATTACATCAACTCCATCCTCTTTGGAGCCATGGTACAGATCTAAGATGGATAGTAACCCAGGCCTGGCTCCAGCAAGCTAGTTCTAGACTACATTTTCTACCACCTTCTGCCAAAACCAAATATATGGCCTCAAGCTTCCTCATCCCAAAGGGAGAAGGTACGCTTCCTGTCTCCACCCCCTGGGTGAGCTTGCTGCCAAATTCAGGAAAATCCATAGCTTCAGGTGCATGCAGGCATGTAGCAGCATCAGTGTTGACAGTCCATTGCGGCCGGGTGAGCCCTCTTCCATATCAGCAGGGCTCGTGGTCATGCGCTTCAGAATCGGGGTCATGGTGATCACCAGGCTGCTGTGAATGCACAGCTGAAGCAGAGTAACAGCAAAAGGAGCAGAAAAAAAATGACATGAAGAAGCATCAAAGAGATGCCTGCTTCCACCTACAAAGAAGCACTGTTCTTTCATCTTGATTAAAGATCCTGCACAGGGTAATCTGGGACTTAACCATCTCCTGAGAGAATTTCTGTAATCTGGGTTGACAGCAAAAGGAAGTGAGCATCCTCACGCAGGGCCTCGCTCCTCAGCTGCTTCCCAAGTCAGCTCTGTTTTCTACCATCTCCCAGTTCATATCCATGGCAAGATCTTGGGTTTAGTCTGTAAAGTGTTAGCGAGTCATTTGTCAACTACATCAGGATTTTCCTATCTACTTTTGATCCTCTGAGACTACTCTGCATGTACAGGGCAGTGTTAACTAAACAAGACCAAAGACTCGGTTTGTAGCTGCAAGACATAAGGCATCCCTAGCCGGGAGTTTCATTTTGGAATCAGTTGCTAGCAGGGACAAGAGTGAAATGTTCAGTCAAGAGGTTAAAACCTGCAGAATGGCAAGATGCTCCCTGTGCACCCTAAAACCTTGCTAATCGATAAATTCTTCCAACGCTTCACTTCCTTCAATTCCTTGTTTAAAATTCATCAGTTTATTTCTTGCACAAAGGAGAGAAGTGCTTCATCAATAATAAGCAGAGGTTTATTGACAGGGCCGGGCTCAAGGTGAGCTTCTGTCAGAATGCAGATCATTGGGATCAGTCTGAGCTCCTTTTCCGTATTAACCTCTCCTTACATTTGTCCTGCCTCAGCATCTTCTCTGTGAGTGTGCTAGACAATACAAACTTAGTTTTTTCCTCTCCATTTGGCACACGGTTCCGTCTTTTTCTTAAACAGCTTCAGCCCCTAACTTGCTCTTCTCTGGCCTGTCATCTGCTACCATTATCCAGTTGTACATATCGCACAGCTTAATCATAGTAATATATTATGCCTATGTGTGTGTTTTTCCCCTCCTCTGGGTATTTATAAGATATCCGTGAGTCGAAGAGCAGTCTGGAAGACTGAAAATCATTGGTAGACCACACAAAAGAATTTGACAGAAAGAGGACATCTTTCCTTTATTCAGCTGGCAGCTTGTGATCTCTCAAAATAAAGTTTATTGGTCATTTATTGCTAATAGAAGAAACTGTGGACTTCTAAGATACATGAAAAGGTAAAAACTGCTAGGTCCAAGCATTAGATAACAAGTGTCTGATCACATACTGAGTAACAGAAGTACAGAAGTTGAGCATTGAGTAATTGGAAGTCACTTTGTTCTTCAGCCAGTTCAGTGTGGATCAGTTCTGAAAAAAACTAAAGGAAAGCTTTAAAAAAACTCCACCATACTCTTCACTGGCTATTTTTTTTATTGAGCAGAATTGTGAAATGGCAAATATTGATTTATCTTTCAGTAATTTATAAAATTATTTCCATAAATCCTTTGACCCACATTGAGATATCAGAAGATGTTGCATACAGAACTACAAATCCAGAGGTTTAAATTAATGTCTTTCCCTCTTAGTAGCAGTAGTATTATTATAGTATTTTGGGACTTTAAAAAATTTATTTTATTGGTCCACTCTACAGAGCACCATATTCTGGATATCCTAAACAGTTCACACTTCCATAAACAGAATTTTCAGGAAGATTTTGAGATTTAAGTCCTTTTGGCTCCAGTCAACAAAAGGGTATAAGCAGGAAGCCGTGTTCCAGATTGCCAGCTTTGTTCCTGCATTTTCAACTAGATTTCACAGGCACTTAAATCTTGTTAAAGTTTTGCTTCCTCCTACACATCTACTTTGCAGAATGTCCTAAAGCACCTGTGTTTTTAAAGGGTGGAGGAGGTTGGCCTCCTCTTTCCAATCTATGTGGGAAACTCCACATGTTTCCATAGATCAGATGAGTTGCAACTCCTTTCTTCTTCAAGAAGACTTGATTTCCGGGTGGTGTTCTCTGAGCATGAAATATTTGAGCATGGTGCAGAGGCCACCACCCCTTTCCTTTGAAACACAAAGGGAAGGAAAGATTATCGCTTAACTTAGGTCACTTGTCCAGGATGGGGGCAACCTGAGTGCAGACTTTAGCTCTTGTTTTTCTAGGTGGAAGAAACAGTGCTTGGTGGGATAACTCAGAGACACACTTCATGAGTGGAGAAAAGACACCATTTCTTGCTTTTGTTTCCTTTTGCATGCTTAGGTGGTTTTCTGCTCAGCCTTTTGCATTTCCTAGGTCTGTGTGGAGGTTTATATGCAGCGTGTGTTGTATGTGGAAAGAAGAGTGGCCACCTGAAGGCTGTGGGGGTCAGGTGCCTAAATTCTGGTGTGAATCTCAACGCTTTGCGCTCATGATGTGAATCACAGCCTCAACCTCTAAAATGAAAAATCAGCAGGCGTGTTGTGATTACAGCATAAATCACCAACATGGTTGGGCAAGATAAGCATATACAGTTCTGAATATTAAATCCCAGCTGCACAAAAGGAACTGCTTTTGTGAAATTAGTTGCTTTCCCTGATCCAAGTCTCCTCGTTAGACCGTTCACTCTGCCATAAAAACCCTTGCTTCTTGTGCCAATGAATAAGATTAATCTTCTAAAACCTTTTGCATACTACCTGCAACATTACAACATTAAAAATAAATAAATAAACCTACCACATAGTTCCCTGGTTTCAAACTTTGCAGATTCAGGGTTCACTAAGAAGTCATCTCTCTTTTTCCTTTAAAAGAAGACAACCATACAGAATAATAGAGTTCTCTGTCTAGCATACAAACCCATCTGGAAAGAATTTAGTCTGCAATAATTGTGGGCATTTGATTTAGCTTTAAATCCCTGTAGGTAATTCAAATGTAAATTTATTGGGGTGAGTTGATCCCCTAACCACCATTGGATCCAATGTTTTAGAGATTAATTTGGCCCATTGCACTAAAACTAGAGCCTGCATTGTTTCTGTTGCATCAGGATATTATTACCTGCTGTAATGTCTGTCATTATAAGCAGACCTTTACTAGAAATAAAGTTAATAGAGACAATACAGACAATCACCTGAATCACATTTATTTTTCAGACCTTTAAAGATTAGTAATTCTTTGGTTATGAATATGTTTATAGACTAGTATCTAAATCACTCAGACAACACTGGCCTAATTCATTATTCTGTACTCATCTGAGATAGTCTTTTTGGTTAAGTAAAATTCTTTGCATTTCACATTCTGCTTCAGAAAAAAAAGTTTCAAGAGGCATTCAGCACATAATGTAAACAATGCCATCTGTCTTTTTCTTTGTAAAATCTTCTTCGAGATAGCCCTGATATGCCTACTGTTTTCAATCACTTAAAAGGCAGTAATTCAATTATATCATCCTCTATGTAGGAACTGCCATTGCTTTCAGTCCACTTCCAATCCTGACACAAGTAAATCACTTTGATAAGATCCCCTTTTTATTTATTTTTTTCTGAGGAGACTAGCATAAGTAATGATGCCAGTGATAGACCAAGGACAAAATGACCATAATGGGCTTTCTGTAGGAAAGGAAAATATGTGCCATTGTAATTTACTGTGTTACTTGGGAAAATGTTTTTCCTTGGAATTGGTAAATTCAGACAAAACCTTCACCAAGCAGCAGATTTAAACAGCTATCGCTCCCTAGATTTCTTAAATGGGAACAGAAGGTCAAAGCCATTTTGGAAATATGTCTAGGTCATATTCATCTTTGGTATAATGCCACCTACTTACATGGAAATGCTCTGGGAGCATGTAAGCTTGGATCTTCCTTACAAACTGCTATAGCTTATCGTGCAGACATGCCTTCCTTCTATTTAAAAATTGTTTGGGTGACTTCAGTGCTTTGTGCCACCAGCGAGGCAGGGACCTGGCAAACACGTCTAATCTCCCAGAATAGATGCGGCACGGGATCGGTAGTATCTGTAGACTTCCTGCTACGAACTGGCATTGACTCTGATGCTGAGAGAGCATGGTTAGAGCTGAGCTGTCTCTGGACACATCTGTCTCTTGCCCCTGATTTCAGAAGAATGGGACAGTGCCAGATGAGGTGCTCAGGTGTGATGTGAAAGCTTGTTTGAAAGGAGCTGGACCACAGGTGTCTCTTTGAACCCAGACTGGTCACTCAGCACAAATAACTCCACAGCCTGCGTTTTCCAATTTGTGAAGAGTGCTGGTCTTATATTCCCTGTCTGAGACCACATCTGGGAAACGCAGGGGGAAGTTCATTCTACTTTGTCTGCTGAAGAAGCAGAACCACGCACGTAAGAGGTGATCAGCAATGTTAAAACACCGCAGGTCAAGTTCGGCATTTCCAGTGACACGCTATGAGGTAACCCTTTTGTTAAGTAATTTTGGAGAGTCTGTGTGAGAAAGCTGTGATCTGGACAGGGAAAAGGCAGCATGTTCGTTGTATTTCACCTAATGAATTAGGAGGCTGTTTAGGATGTCATTGATATGGTATGTTGTTTCCTTTCACAGAGAAAGTGTGGAGAGCCTTATCCAAAAGCATTCCTATGCCCGATCCCCCATTCGAACCTATGGAGGAGAAGATGATCTCGGAGATGACAGCCAGGCAACACAAAGCAGAGGTAGGAATATGTGCTCATGAAGTAAACTGTGGTGACCTAGTTATGCTTGAGGAAAGGAGGACCACAGTCCTTCTTTGTGTTACTCTGAAGCGTTTCTCTGGTGTGTCTCTCTGGCATGAAGTTCTATAACGAAGAAGAATACTTATTACCTTATGGCTCTTCTGGACATCTGATATGCCCATGGCACTGGTGTGGGTGGCTAGTTCAGGAGGCAGCTCTAGAGATGCCTATACAGCCTTTGCCAGCAGAAGAGAACTATCTCTGCCTCCTCTTCAAGATGGCTGAAAAACAGGCAACTTCCTTCCCGTGGTGCTGAGAACAAGTTAACACTCCCCATTCCTTGGCAGGACTTATTAGCTGGGGCTCAGCACCATTTGTAAAGTACCTTGTAGATGTGCCATTTGCTGCCCCTCCAGCCTTCTGTGAACAGAGGACTTGGTTCCAACCATCTTCAACCAGCCTGTGGTTAACTTGCTTTGCCTCTACAGGAAGAAAAGTCCATAGCTCCCTGGAAAACTGATGTTTAGTTGTTATCTCTTGGTCTCTAAAAGGTACTTTTCCTGCTG